ATTTCAACACTATAATTTTTAAAGGGTAAAATAGACAATTTAAACAAATTCAGACGTTTATCAGTTTATAAAAACAAACAGTCTTATTGATTCAGATTTCAGACTTCAACACCACTTCTTATAAATCAAAAATAAAATAAAATTTAAGACTTCAACACCTCTTAAAAAAACAAACGTAACCATAATATTTTCATATCATGAAAAGTTTCTCGTTCAAATATGAACAAAATGCTCATTTAATTGTGCATTTAAACTCTTCAATTGTTAACTTCAAAACCTCTAAAAGGAGTTTAATTCCAACATTTTGTGGGAAAGATTTATGAGTCAACAATTGTTTATTACATTTGTTTTTTTTAATTACCGTCATTAAGTGGTTTTAAATACATTTATTTAGGGACCGTTTATCAAATACTTACTTGGTAAGCGCTTACAAAGTTATATTATCTTACCTGATGAATATGATAAGAACCAAAAATCTAACCCGATAAGAACGAGACAAGAACCGAGAGTCTTACTCAGTAAGTGAAGACAATGACTTTTATCACAGTCAGCTCTTACCGGGTAAATTGTTGCATAAAAAGCCGTTCTTGTTGAATAAAATATTACCTGATAAGTAAATAATAGTATTGAATTTTCCCGATAAGTGCTTACCGGGTAAATATTTGGTAAACGACCCCTTACTGATTCTTAAAAAGGATATGGTATCTTAAACTTGTTCAATCTTAAAATCAAATAATTCTCGACAAGGAGCAAATATGTAGGTCCTGTTTGGTTTGCATGAATAAAATGAATTTGAAGGGATTTAGGTTATGTTTGGTTTGTAGGAATGAAATGGATTTGGTAGAATTTGGATTTCAAATCCATTCCAATCTCATGTTTGATTTGTTGGATTGTCTGGATTTGAAATCCTACAAACATAGGATTTTGAAATCCTTGGTGCTTGGGATTTCACGGCATTTCGTAAGATTGTATGCAAGAAGGTTATAAAAATATTAAAAACATTTGTTGGTAAAAATATAATTTAACTATTTTTATAATTTTTTTATAAAATATTTTTAAATAATGGAATCCAATTTTATTCCAAATCCTACAAACCAAACACACAAATGATTTCAAATTCATTCAAATTCAAATCCCTAAAAAACAATCATACAAACCAAACGGACCCTGATGATTACAAATCCATTCCAATCTCATGTTTCGTTTGTTGGATTGTCCGGATTTGAAATCCTACGATTTAATTGAAATTCTACAAACATAGGATTTTGAAATCCTTAGGGAGTGCTAGGGATTTCGTAAGAAAAACCAAAGAGAAAGAAAATAAATTTAGAGATGTATAAGATGGAGATAGAATTTGAGAGGGTGTGAGAGATGAAGATGAATAAATAGTTGTTGTTTATATGTATATAAATAAATGATTGATGGGAAAAGATGAAGAGTTTGGAGTTATATCATTTGAATTAATATAGAAGAAGATGAATGGTTTGGAGTTGAATGCAAACATTTAACAAAAAAACATAAATTGACAAAAAAAATATATATAGTAGTGGATATTGAGAGAATGAAGGAGAAAAAAGAAAAATGAGGTTCTAGGCTTTAGGAGAGACCACTTCAAACACTGATTGTTTATTCTTTAATATATATATATAATAATACATAAGAGTTATAATGCAAACAAAAATCATGATACAAACATAAATAAAATTATAATGCAACCAAAAWCATGAAACAAATCAATATAAAATTATTACCTTTGCAACCAAAAAATMAAATATTGAACTTGAATACTTCTTCAAATCTTCATGACATAATGCATAAAAACTATAATGCAATCTAAATAACGAAACAAACATACATAAAATTGTGGGAAAAGTGAAAAAACAAAAAAAAACTATAAAGATTATCAATAGTGAAATAGAAGAAAAACCAAAGAACTTGAAACTTCTTCAAATCTTCATGACATATAATGCAATTTAAATAACGATACAAACATACATAAAATTATGGGAGAAATGAACAAAAAAACTATGAAGATTACCAATAGTAAAATAGAAGAAAAACCAAAGAGAAAGAAAATAAATTTAGAGATGTATAAGATATAGATAGAATTTGAGAGGGTGTGAGAGATGGAGATGAATAAATAGTTGTTGTTAATGAAGCTTAAATTCGAAAAAAGTTTATCATATCTGTGATTATAAAATATCAAAATTTTATTCGAATTTATATGATCAACTCGTAAACACAATTTATATAATACAATCGTAAACACAATCATATCCTATGATAACAACACATCCAACAATATTGAAAAAGAAACATGTAATAACAAATCACATTTTTT